ACTACTAACTTTGGTTTGTAACCTATCCTTGAAATCAGCTTCTGTACCAAATGACTGGAGCATAGCTAATGTGATGCCAATCTTTAAAAAGAGGTTGGGGGATCTAGAGGTTATCTTGGCAATTACAGGCCTGTAAGTCTAACTTCAGTACCAAGAAAATTAGCTGAAACTATAGCAAAGAACAGAATTGTCAAATACGTAGATGACCATAATTTATTTGAGAAGAGTCAACATGGCTTTGTTAAGGAAAGTCAGGCCTCCCCAATCTACTAGAATTTTTTAAGATGGTTATCAAACATTAGGACAAGGCAGACCCAATGGATATAGTGTACTTAGATTTCCAGAAAGCCTTTGACAAGGTCCCTCATCAAAGGCACTTAAACAAAGTAAGCAGTCATAGGATAAGAGGAAACACTAATAACTGGTTAAAAGATAAGAAACAAAAGGTAGGAATAAATTGTCATTTTTCAGAGTGGAGAGAGGTAACTAGTGGTGTCCTCCAAGGGTTCATACTGGTCAATCCTAGTCAACATATTCGTAAATAGTCTGGGGAAAGGAGTAAATAGTGAGGTGGCAACATTAGCAGATGATAGAAAACTGCTCAAGATAATTAAGACCAAAGCAGACTCGCTTCAAAAGGAGCTCATAAAACTAGGTGACTGGGCAACAAAATGGCAGATGAAATTCAATATTGATAAATGCAAAATAATGCATATTGGAAAACACAATCCCAACTATATGTATGAAATGAGGGGGACTAAATTAGCTGTTTTAAAGAGAGAAAGATCTTGAAGTCATCGTGGAGAGTTCTGTGAAAACAACCACTCAATGTGCAGCAGCAGTCTAAAAAGCAAACCGAATGTTGGGAATCATTAAGAAAGGGCTAGAGAATAAAACAGGGTATGTCTACACTGCAAAGTTAATTCGAAATAACAGCCGTTATTTGGAATTAACTTTAATAGTGTCTATACATGCAAACCTCTATTTTGAAATTAATTCAAAATAGCAGAGTGCTTAATTCGTATTTGGTAAACCTCATTCTATGAGGAGTAACGCCAAATTCAAAATAGCTATTTCGAATTAAGTGCAGGGTAGACACTTAATTCGAAATAGGGGGCCTCCAGCCCTTCCCAGGGAGCCCTGGTGGCCACTCTGGGCACAACCAGGAAAACTCATCTGCTCCCCTCCCCCCGGAGCCCCAAGCCCTTAAAGGGGCAGACTCTGGCCACAGTGTCTGTGTCAGTTGTCAGCCTGCCAGTGCAAAGCCAGCAGACCGTGTATCTGGCACAGGATGAGCCAGCCACCCGCTGCCACCCAGCCCTCCACCGCTCCATAGGACCAGGCTGGCGGCTCTCAGGAGCCTGCCAGGGGGCGGGGAGAGCTGCCAGCCTGGCCACCCAGGAGCAGGTGTGCATGAAAATCAAGGTGGTCCAATGAGACCCCCAACCCTGAGCCCTGAGCTTACAATGGCCGTACTGGGTCAGACCAAAGGTCCATCTAGCCCAGTAGCCTGTCTGCTGACAGCGGCCAACCCTAGGGACCCTGGAGGGGATGGATCGAAGACAGTGACCAAG